TTCAGCAGCCCCATACATATCACAAAATAACACCTGAGTGTCTCCCAAGAGTTGATACTTCCTGACCTAGAGCCTACCAACTGTCTTAGTCTCCCTGCAGCTCCTGATGACACCACTTCTGTCGTGAATACCCAGGTAAGATCTACCAATATATTGTTGCTCCTCTGGAAACCAATCAGGTAACACAGTGCCCCTTACCAAATGGTTTGGAAATGAGGAAAGATAGTCTATTAAAAGATATTCTTCATTTTGTGAAGAAACAAGGGGTTGGGAAGCTAGCTCAGTGGCTTAAGCCCTTGCTTGCCTCATAAGCACAAGGTCCCTAGTTTGATCCCCAGTACCACAAAAACAAAAAAAGAAATGAAAAGTGAAAAAAGGAGAAAAGGAGAAAAGGCATGAATAGGATGAAGAGAAATAAGCCCCCTGTGACTCCCATCAAACATCTCTAATTCTCTTGGAGCAGTCTTCTAAATATTTGCATCCACACTCAACCACTCTATCCACAAGGACAGATTTACTTGACTCCTCATGAGAAATCAGCACTTTAAAATATGATGAGACCTACAAATTTTTTACATTTACTTTTATTCTTGTAATACTGGGCAGTGAACTGATGAGTACAAGTATTGGTAGGGCTGTAGCAATTACCAGAAATGGACAAGGATTAACCACAGAATTTGTTCTCACAGTTCCAGAGGACAGTGTCTAAAGATCTGGGTGTACACAGAGGTGGGTCTCTAATATATTCACATGTGCTGCTGTCCAGATATTTTAATATTTTGCCCCAGTTCTATCAGACCCTTTAACAGCAAGGAAATCTATAAATCAAAGAGCTGTCCCAGAATGCTGCCTTTTGGGACTGACAGATGGCCCAGAGCTGCGCTCATCTTCAACCTCTTACTGACTGTGTACCTGGTCAGCATCCCTGGAAACCTGCTCACTATCTTGGCTATTATCCTGACCCCTACCCTCATACCTCCATGAATTTTTTCCAGCTTATCCTTCACTGACATCTGCATGAGCACAACTACAACATCCAAAATGCTGGTGAACATCCAAACACAGGATCAGAACATCACTTACACAGCCTTCCTCTCTTAGGTTGCCTTTGTCATTATTTTTGGATGCTTGGAAAACTGCCTCTTCACAGTGAGGGCCTATGACCACTCTGTGGCCACTTGTCACCTCCTCAGACACATGATCATCGTGAACTCTTGCATCTCTAGTCTACTGTTCTACTGCATCTCTACTCTCTGTTCTTTCTGTTATTTAACATTGTTCAAGCCCTGCTCCACAGCCTGATGTTGCCTTAGCTGTCTGTCTACACAGATTGAAGAATCCCCCACTTCTTCTGTGAACTTACCCAGATCATAAACCTTTCCTGCTCTGATACTCTCATTCTTTACACCCTGAAATATGATGCTGTTTGCATATTTGGTGGTATTCCTATCTCTGTAATTATTTTCCCTTACATTTGTACTGTATCTTCTGTTACAAGAATGCCATCACTAGAAGAGAAGCATAAAGCCTTTTCCACTTGTGGGTCCCAACTATCAGCTGTTTCTTTATTTTATGGGACAGATTTTTGGGTGTACATTGGGTCCATAGTTACAGGTTGACCAGGGAAGATTGCAGCGTATTCTACAGTCCCTCGAATGCTAAATCCCTTCATCTATACTTTGAGAATCAGGAACACGAAGGAAACCTGGGCGGGGGACTCATTAGTAGGGTGGATTCTCTTCTACAATGAGTCATTTTCTTTGAACTTGTGTCCTGGGGTAAGACAAGGCAAAACCACTCCTGTCATCCCATTCTGCTAAGTGACGAAGTAATTTAATGACCAGGTACATTGTATCTTGACTTGAAACCAGATATTGCTTTGTATTGAGCTCTGTGATGATTGACCCATGATTTAAATTTTCCAAACAGTTATTTGTTCAGGTTTCACTGAAACAAAACATGAAGCAAGAACTATAATTCTGGAAGTTTTTGGTACCTGTTTTCATAGTTGGATAAGGTACACAGGCTAGGATGTTATTTAAATAAATCTTCAGTCATATCTATAGAATAGTTTCAACCTGCTCACACAGTTAGGGCCATGTGAGTTGCACCCCAAGGTGAATCCTACTGTGAAAAGGAGGGGCCATTCCCAGTGTGTGAAGCAATTACTGAAGCCTTTAAACTGGTAAATAATTTCTTTCTGATGCAGTAATAACATCCACATATTCAGGATGATAGTCTACTATTTGTGCTATTTGGAGTTGATCAGTGATCATTTTCTATTCTAATAAGGAAAAGGTCTCAAGGCCTTACCATAAAATACAAATATCCTCAACAATAGTAGCCTTTAACTGCAATGATTATGGAGGTAAACATACACACACACACACACACACACACACACACACACACACACACACAGAGGAACTGTGGCTATGGATTCATACTAACTCCCATGAGCTATCCTCAGCCTAGGGTTGGTTATCTTTCAGGTCACCATGTCAATATGGTGAATGTGGCCATACCTGGTCATGATGCCAGAGACAAAAATCTGATGATCTTGGTCAATTGATGGTTAACTGTTTACAGCCTCCCAAGAACTGGGATTACAGATGCACTCCACCATGCCCAGTCTCAATCACTGTCTGAGAATGTCCTGGGGACAGAGCCAGCCCGGCAGGCCTGGGGATCAAATCCCCTACACATGCTTGAGGCACTTGAATCTGCTGAGCTACTTGGCTGTCCCTCAAAATGGAGTGTTTCTGATGTTAATGAAATTTTGGTAGGGCCAGAGAGATAACTCGGCAGCACAAGTGCCTGCCTGGCAAGCACAAGGTCCTGAGTTTAATTCCCAGCACATGCTTGTCATGACATGCCAGTTGCTGCTATGATGTCTTTCGGGTAGATGGTTGTTCAAAAAGAAGGGGGTGGTGAATGAAAACAAGAGACAGGAAAAGGAATATTGTGGGACTGTCCTGCTTTAAGGTTCTATATGGTGAGATTTTTGGACTTATGTGTAAACATAAGTAGTATATAATTCTTTATGCCTATTTTTAAAATATATTCTAATTTTTAAATGTTTTTATCATATTCTGCAGGGACTCAAAGTTCAATATATCAATACTTGATGAAAAATACCTGTTCCATGTTATGCCTAAGAAGTTTTATATGCAGACAGATAGTGAAGTTAAGCTTAAGAGCCTAAGTTGTATGGTAATAACAATAAGCTTGTCTTCTGGATGGTTAACAAC